TACTTTTTTTTTTCTTTGTGATCTTCTCTTTCCTCCCTGCTTCTTTGGATATTCAAGATTGCATTTGTATACATTTAGTATTTACTCTGAAATTTTAACATGCACTTCCTAATAAAAGACTGTAGTTACTCATTATTTCTACCTTTCTTTCTCCCATACAGGACAACATTCTATGCCACATCTCCATTGTCCCAGCTAATCTATAATCGTTAATCAGATTATTTTAGTGCCTCTTACATTCTTAAAATACCTATTTTTAAACAAAAATCATTAGCTGAAGTTACTGACTTACTTCTACATTTTCTACCATTCCTAGTATTCCCCACTACTTCACTGTGCTTGTTTTTCTTTGGGCTAAAGTACAGAGAAGGGGGCAGAGCTGGGACTAAAGCAACGTGTTTTTCTCCACAAAGTCCTCACTCTTAACCCCAACAATTTACTAATCACAGACTTAGAGAAAGCTATTCTGTGTGTACAGGGCAGGGGAGGGAGGAAATTGTAGATAAGAGGCAGATGGAAAGGAGGAAGGGAAGTGGCAGGTGGCTGGAAAGGGTGTCATAATAATGACACAAAGTTAGTTTTGACATTGTCTACTAGAAGACAAGATTTCTATATCAGAGCAAAACCAATAAACTCATGAGACATGAATATGGCATATATGCATAATACATATATAAACATGGTGGGGGGAGGGGCTAAAGACATAGCAGTGAGTCAAGACTTGGTCCAAACAGGGGAGGATAAGCTGCCAGTAGAGAAGCACCCAAGTTTAGTGCCTCCCACATAATGGTGCTCAAGAATATTTATGGAGTATTGTTTAAAAATAAAAGAATTTCAACAAACTTCATGGACTAATAATATTAAAAAGCTTGAATATATGATTCTGTGAAAGTCAACTGTCATCTTTCCACTGTAGTTCTCTAAGAGGAGAACACAATTTTTTATGAAATCACAAGCTAGCATCACTTATAATAAGCTTAATTCCAAAAACTACAGGGTTCCTATAATCTTCATATTAACTTGGTAATATGAGTAATAATTATCAAGGAAGGAAAATGTCAAAATGTATTTCAGGGGTGTGTGTAACAGTTTACTGATTAACTTAGTATTTCTGTCCACGTGCTTGAAACTTCTTGAAATTTAAGTACTCAAATACTGTTCTTGTGGGGGTTTTTTAAGATTTATTTTATTTATGCACATAAGAACTGCAGTACAGACCAGAGGTGCAGAGTGTGAGAGGATTCACCAGAGACAGAGTGGGGAGCAGAACAAGCAGATGGACTGACATACACTGCTGAGGGGAACAGCAGGAAGATCAGGAGAGGTCTGCTGTGCCATGTGGGTCACCTCTCTGGCCAGGGATTGAACCCCTACAGTGCCTGAGACAATCTCATAATCCTGTGCTCCAAACCATTGTGCGATGAGAGAGGGCCCCAAACACTGTTCTTTTTTATGTCTACATAATAGTCTTATTGAAGAACTTTATAGCAAAATTTAACTTTATATCCATTTTAGATGCATACATTTAAACTGTAATCAAATGACCACAGTATAAAAACATCTTTTTCTGGCTCAGAAAAGCTCAATCTGTCATTACAATTTAAAAAATGAATTAACACTTTATAAAAATAGGTTAATGGAATTAGAAATCAGTCTTCCTGTTTTATGTTGCCCTCTCTCCTCTCATCCACTTGCCAGAAGAATTTCAAATGCAATTCCCCTTGAAAGCTACAAAATTAATAGACTAATGGACAGTTACCATTTTTGTTAAAGTAGACTGACTCTATTGAATTTATATCTTAATCTTTTTGTCACTGTTGTTTCTGCATAATTTCCTGATGTTAAAAAAATCAAGAAAAGCCAGCTGGGCTAATTTATGCAGCAGTTTCCCAAGTATTGTTTTCCCCTTTCAAGATTTAAAATCAAACAAAAATGTTTCTCTGGATTTCTAATGAAAAAATTAGCAATAAGTTCTGAAATTTGTGGTCAGGCAAAGGAACTCATTACTGTGTTATGAAACACATTAATACACTTTGATCAATACATTAGCTGTACAAATACAAATATGCTATAGTGATGTCACAATGTAAGCAAACCTGCCTGGCCTATGCTAAAAGGTAGTTAAGATAGAAAAGGTGTGAAAAGCATTAGGTTACCTGGGAAAAAGCCAAATACCTTTAATACTTCCCAGAAATGGCATTCTCTCAACTTTTCTGTACATATACATAAATCCCCTGAACACAAAGAAATCTTAGAAATTTATTCTTATTCTTTTATGCAGTTAGTTAAAAATTAATGAATAAGAAATTAAAGAGAAGTGACTGTAATAAAGTTAGAATATTCTAACTGAAAAACAATTACAATAAAACTATTTACACTCCCATGGAATTATAAGCATTTTTCAAAGGATATTTTGCAACACAATTTTTTAAACAATATTTTCTTCTTCTTACTCCTGAGACTTAAATACTGCAGGTTTACTTTGCATAAAAAAACACTTAGTAAAGTGAGAATTTTCCTTTATCAGAAAAAAAATTTGTGATTTAAAGTAACATGTTGAATGCTTAGATTTTTCTTCACATTTATATGTTTCATCTTTCAACTAAGGGCATTAGTTTTCAAATCTATGTAATTGACAGAAAATTGTGTTGAAATGGTAGTATTAATTAATTCTGGGAATTTAATCGGTCAGACTTTGGAGATACACAGTTCTTTGCACAGAACTGGAAAAATACCAATTTTTTTAAAATAAATGTGCTCACTATTTTCCACTGTTTTCACCTCCTCTCAAAATGATACTCATATTTCACAGAAGTAAAAGCATTTAGCTTAATTCTTACCCTGAGAGATCTTTTTTTAATAGAAAAAAAGTTGCCTATCTAGTTTTAGATATTTAATCAAACAAAAGCTCTAACTCTCAGCGACAACTTTAGGGCTTTTACGAAGAAAAATCCCCTCTGAGTGGCTGGCTCAAACTCGACAAACTTGAACCGTGCAGATGTTGAAGCAACTCTCGGTTACACTGGGGAAGAAAGAAGAGCTAGACATTCCACAGCTGCCTACACCAGCTTCCTTCCCAGGGGCACAGTTGCAGGCTCTATCAAGCTCAATCACTTTGTACAGCAACTGGGGTCCCAGGCAGGGGCCAAGGAATCCCAGAGCAGCTTAGATTTCTTCCAGTACCACAGTAAGAAGTAAGACTACTTAAAGAGTAACCAGCTATTTCCAACAATGGCCCCAGGCCAAAAGTCAGGGCTAGGGAACGTGGGGAGGGGGAAAGAACACATATAATAGGCGAAAATAAAAGATGTTTCATCTTTTGGAGATTTTCAAGATACTCACAGAGGCTCTTCCTTGAGTCTTATTGTGAAAATGACTATGAACATTTGATCTTCATTCCTGACCATGTTTTTTTTTTAAGGGTTGGGACAGGACAGTCAAGTTAAAGAAACACAAAACTTAATTAATAGTTAATCCACCAGTTGGAATGTACACCATTCACTGCAGAATTCTGGAGGAATGAGATGCATGGGACAACAATATCATGCTTCCATTTTACATTCTTGTACATTCTCCAAGCTCTTCTGAACATTTGAAAGACCAAAATAATTGTATTAATGATATGGTATAACTAAAAACAAGTAACCAGCGAATATTTTTTCCTATTTAAGAGTACTAATGCTATGTTAGGTGCTTTTTCCTTAGGATAAATCAGAAAGGAAGGAACTGTAAACATACAGCTCAGAAATACACAGGTTATTAATGCCTACAAAATTGTACTTTTATACTAATCATCTTCTTGTGTAATAGAAAGACAACAGGTATATGCATGTTTTGAGTAGTTTTGGTAATATCTTGAATTTATAATACCCTTATAATCATTAATTCCTACTAATTCAGAAAATCATTATTTTACCCTCTTAGCAGAACTTCCAAGATACAACAACCAAAACAATAGTGATGTTACCATTAATTATGGGCTTCTTAGTATTTAAGCACTAGTACTAAGAATTTTAGATAAGTTGTCTACTTAAACTAACACCATAGTATTCCCATCTTAGAGATGAAGCAATTCACTTTTTAAGTCACCAAGCTAATAAATGGTAGAGCCAAAATTTAAACTTTTTCAACAAAGTTGTGATTCTTTTACTGACTTCACTGAAAGTGACATTGTACATTAATGTGAAATATCTACCTGTTAGTTAAATCTCACTCACATTGCTTATATTATCACCTTTTCTGCTCTGTCGGCTTTTAAATAGTTAGTAAAGGTTCATTTCAACTTAGTACATTAGTAATGCAATTATTACCTCAATGTTTTCATATTCTAAGTGTCTTAAGTTTTAGATGTCCATCTTTCTGTTTTAGGCTGACTCTTACAAGCACAAGTCAAACAGCTAATAGACAATTTTTTGTTGCATAACAGATACTGAAGCTATAAACACTAAACTGGCGTAAAAACATAAAATAAAAAGTTTATTCATACCAATGATAAAATAACAAGAAAACTTGAAGACTCAAAAGATCTTTGTTTATAGTTCAACAATATTCCTCCAAGACAATGCAATCCACTACAGCAAGGAGGAATATATGAGGCAGAAGTTGTTGACATATGGGGTGTGCATAGAACTTCTGGTTAATGGAAGTTCCAAGATGTATAAATAAAAAATGATGTGTAAGTTGGTGGAAAAAACTGTAAAGCAAGTCAATTTTTTAATTAAAAAATTATGTAGCATAAACAATGCTAATGAGCCAAAAGTCCCATGAGATTAGGACCATATCTGCTTCATTTTAACATTCCATTCACTTCTCATAAGTGTACATCCAGTCACTTGAAAACCCTCAAGCAGAACCCTTTTTGTAAAATACAGTTTTGAAGATTTTCTTTGTTCTTGTTCTTATAGCTCACCATATTTTACTCAAGTTGTCAGCTTGATAATATATGACATTTTTTTAAAAAAAGCTCTAAAATACTTAAATGAATCACCAGAAATTAATACCTGGAAGTTCTTCATAAATTTCATCATCAATTGGTTGACATTTTGCTGGTGAAATGCTGACTGGTAAAGGATGATCAACATCATCATATAATTCCCCTCTTTCATCATCATCCTCAGGAATAATGTCTGATTCCATATCTACAAAACATTTTCATGACGTAAATTTTTAAAGAACATAAAAGGATTTTCAAAACACTATTCCCTAGATTAATGCAGCCTTAAAGTCACAATATATCCTTAACTGAAAGCACTTTATAAGCTGGATTACTGCATAAGTATGTGAATTTCAAAGTTGCCAATTGTTACTTACAGAAAATATACATATACTTTCATAAACATGAAGTGAATGGTCTGAATTAATACCAGTCATGTTCCCTTGGTCATTCTCAGAGTCCATAAGCTTTTGTCTATGAAAGTCCAAACCATTCAGTTATTCAGTATTTAAAGCTTGCAATAACTTCTTTAATTGATTGCTCTTACCTTGTAATATAAATTTCAGATGTTGTACCCATTCCTCAGCATCTTTGGGAGAAGCTGCTGTAAACTAATAATAATTAAAAAAAAAATAACATGAAAAATCACTACAGGTTATACTGGATTCTTATCATTTCTTTAAGACCATTAGTAATTCTTTTCATGTCTAGTGCTACTTTTCTTGCAAGGATGCTTCTTATAATGTACAGTTAATTTTGACAAATTTACGTAATTGAAGCAGAGGATGATGGATTTGAAACTCTGATCAGCAGCTGGCAGCTGTGCAGGAAAAAAAAGCTGCTTCTCTTCATCAATGTCAAAGACAGAACTGATGAACAAAATTTGCCCTTGACAATTAGAAGACACCCATGAATTTCTTTAGACTGCTGGGTACAGTTTTCTTAAAAATGTTCTTGTCAGATTCCAACACACTACCTGACAACTTAATTAACTGGCTTTCAACTGTAATCTCAGATATTTAAAACTTATTAAACATACATTCCATATTGATGCTAGCTGATAGCTCTTGAATTGCAGGCTGATATATGTCTTTACCTTCATTTTCTCCCACAACACTAAGCAATACAATATGGACTAACATCCTGATATTTTTCTTTTGATAATTTTACTCTTTCTGATTCTTTTAGTAAATCACAAGGTTCTATTAAAACAGATACAAAATGCAACATGAGAGTAATTGATAAATTACATATTCATTTGTTCTTTTTAAAGAAGATATTGCATGAATCTGAACAAATTTTGAAATATATTTCTTTTTATATGAATATTCATTGCATGAAAGGCAGTATTTTTTAATATAGCTAACATGTCAGAGAGAGTTGTTTTAACAAAATGTTAATGTCTTTATAAATGAAATCAGGACATTTTATCAATTCAATTTCAAAGCAACAGAAAAACTCCAACCTGATAGATACGCTTATCAGGAGCAGAGATTTCAAAACAGCAATCTTTCTTTGCATCCTTTCTAAGAGTGTTGTTCATTCTGACACTGTAGCCATCTATTGCAAATTCTCCTTTCTGTTGTTTGTCTGTTGAAGATAAAACAAAAGTTAGAATTTAATTTCTACAGTGAACATAAATTCCAATCAGTTATCATTTTTTGTTAAATCTGTATTAGTTTATCTGTCTTTATACATAGATGCATTCCTCGGACATTGCATAAGCTTATTTTTTGCTATTTTCAATTTAATTTTTAGCGCAAATTTAAATAATCTTTAATGCTATTTGGAAGAATTACACAATGAATATTCCTTTTGCCTATGGTAAATAAAAAGACCCTATTTTCTCTTCTATATAAAAACCCTATTTTCTCTTCTATATAAAAAGTATATAAATGTATATATATTTATGTCATGCTTTGTATCTTCTGTGTGCTTGTGTTGAAAGGATTATATCTCTGTTGAAAATGCAGATAATGGTGGCTCCAGACAAGCTTTAAGATTTCTATGCTTAGTTTAAAATTGAAGAGAAAAGGTCCCATTATACACACAAAGTAGTTGCTACTAAGACTATCTTATTACTAGCTGTACAACATTCACTCAGTCAGTATTACAGCTTTATATTAAAATGTTTAAAGGACATTTTCAAATATCCACTTTAAATTCTAATATTGTAAATGGGATGATTAGATTTAAAAGGCTACCTTAGGGAACCAGAGAAAGAGATCTAGAGTTAGTGGTTCCACTCAGAAAGACACATGGAAATATGACACTTTTATGGAGGGGAAGTCCAAGGATTAAACTTTAAAACTTTCTAGAAAACTCACAACAAACTCATGGCTCTTACAGATTTAATAAATCAATGGGGAAACTTTTAAGTTGAAAATATGCTGGACTGAATTTTCTACCTTGCCTCCAAGTCTTTAAAAATAATCAAAATTTTTTCCCCAAAATGTTTAACTCTAACTTTTGAAGTTTTGAACAGGCTTAGCTAATCAAGTATATTTGAACCCCATGTAACAAATAAAAACAAAAAAAAGATGATAAGAGAGCATCAGTCAGACATAACTTCTAATAAAAAGTAGGAATACAACAGAGGACTTAATACTCTGACATGGAAAATTAAATTAGTAATTACTGCAGCCAGTTATACCATTTTTATAGAAAAGCTGAAAAGTTATAGGTTTATTTCTTAGATTAGCACACAATGTTAAGATCATGAGTAAGAAGAACTGTCTCTTTTACTGAGCTCAGGGGAAAATAGAGAAATGCTTCCATATGGTAGGGTGAAGAGTTCTCTTAGTTTAGTGTACTGGCAAAATATATATCTTCTTTTCTCAAGTATACTAATTTAATGCCTGAGGTAACATACATTTTTTTAAAAGTCATGGACATAATATAATTTTCAAAACATCAAATGAGGAAAAACACTGACTTCAAAATTTTGGATTTAAACCTGGACCTTATAATAATATTTAGAAATAGTTTACATTCTTTGGGATGCATGAAAAAAATTCAGATTTAAAAATTTTAAGTTCATTTTGTGGAAAAAAATCTGCCATGGGTGAGGTTCAGAAAAACTATACTTTAAAAATTTGAGCAACATTTCCCAAAGTGTGTCTTTATGAGCAAATAAGTTTGGAAATACTCAATTCATCAGGTTTTGCTAATTCAGGCTTTCTTGAGGCCTTATATATACATATATATGTGTGTGTATGT